GGATTCAAGTGTGGCTGAAATAGCAAACTCGATTCATGTTGGTCCCCTGCCCAGGGGCACAGTTTGCCTTGCTCTACCTCTGATACTGCATTTGTTCCTGGTTCGCTGAAAGCAAGAACAGGAGTGCAGCAAAAAGCAACTATGCTTTTCAGTATTCAGGCACCTCTTTGCTTACGGGAACCTGACGGTGTCCAAATGAACTGCAGCTGTTCCCCAAACACCTGCCTGTTCTCGGAGAACAATGAGAACAATGAAGAGAACAGGACACAAGTATGGCTGAACTTAGCTGGCATCTACAATTCAACCTCTAGCCCAAGCCAAATGTGTAAGGCACATATTTCCCAAAGTCTATGCACCTCTCTTTTCTGCAGTGTGTGTGTGTGTGTGTGTGTGTGTGTGTGTGTGTGTGTGTGTACACACATAAGAAGTGCCATACTGGGTCACACCAGTGGTCCCTCCAGGCCAGTATCCTGTCTGACAGTGGCAGAAGTGGATGCTAGAGGAAGAGCATTGAACAGGCTCGGTTTAGAGCAGGGGTGGGCAAAATGTGGCCCACGGGCCAGATGCGGCCCTCCAGGCCAGATGTGGCCCACGGGCCAGATGCAGCCCTCCATTCAATCTGGCCCGTGGGGCCCCTAAAAAATTTAGAAAATTAATATTTATCTGCCCCTGGATGCCTGTCATGTGGCCCTCGATGTCTTGCCAAAACTCAGTAAGCAGCCCTCCGCCCAAAATAATTTCCTGCCCCTGGTCTAGAGCGATATATCCCCTGTTCGCTATCCTCCCAATCATCCACCATTACTGGTATAGAGATGCCAGCGGAAACATCTCCAACCGTTCTGTTCAGCAGCGAGTCGTGGATCTCTCGTTCATTAATTTGTCTAGTCCCCTTTTGAATCTGGCTATGCTACCTGCCTCTAATGATAACTACAAATTAACTGCATGTTGCTTTAAAAAGTACTTCTTGTTAGTTTTAAACCTACCTCCTACTAATTTCAGCGGGCTTCTCCGCATTCTGGGACTGGGTGAACAACAACTCCCTCTCTGCTTGCACAAGTAAACACGAGATGATTGCTCTCATGTCTGTGAACTCACGCCCATGGTGAGATATTCCTCTCGTGCTTCCCAGAACAATGTCAAGTGAGCTGAGACCGGATGCAATCACAGTGCATTCTCATTTTCAAATAGACGTATGAGGCAATAGTTTTGGAGAAGCTAGGTTGGCACATGCACAAAAATAGCCTTCTGCTTTATTCCAGATGTGGTCTTTTAATAAGCCTCTTGTCCTGCTTTAGTCATAAGCCTCAAGCCGTTTGCAAAAGAAATGCTAACCCTGGAAGTGCTGTGCACAGAAGCAGCTTGGGCTTCTGCCGGCCTAGTTGTAACTTGAAGTCGGGGCACAACAGTACGACCTGCCCAACCACAAAATGACGTCCCCTCTGTCATAGCCAATGAAGGAGACCTCAGGTTAGTATGCTAGGAGGGTGACAGCTTGCTCATAAGATACAAACTGGGCTCCTTGGATATTAATGCATCCCAGAGGGGCAGCTCACCCAGAGCCTCCAAGAGCCATAAAGGCTTCATTTTAAACCCACAATGTGGCCATATATGATGATAAAAAATCTTGATGGAGAACAGTGTGCAGTCAAGCCAATGCAAAGGAGCCACTGTGGCATGGAGCCATGCATTGGGGGCAAAGGGGGAAACCTTCCAAGCACTCAAGGGCAGCTTTGCGCTGCGTTAACTTCCAGGTCCTGGAAATCCTTTCCAGACGTTGTTTCCATTGCCTGACTTCAGTTTCTGGTCTGGTGGGGAAAGCCAGATTCCCTGTATACCCTCAATGGCCCTAAGGGGTCCCTGTTGCTGGGCTGGTATTAAGTTTGCAAGGCATTTAATTAAGTGGAGACCACTGCATCCGAAGTAAAGGCCAAGGCCAGCCCTGGTGCTGTTCCACTATCCCTGGGGTTGGAGCCCAGGTTGCAGCTCATACATCATCCCTTTTCTCCTCCCCTGTAGTAGCGCTTGCTAGGAAGGAGGTAGGACTTGCAGTGAAACGGAGAACCTGGATTTGGCAAGCAGGTGAGAGCTGTGACCCTATCAAGGCAGAGGCCACCGTGACCTCCATGAGGGATGAGCACTACGACCACTAAGAAAGCAAGCAGCTCTGGTTGCCCGCTGGGTCCAGGCATCATGCCGGGGCGTCCTAAGACCCGTGCTAATGGTGCATCTGCAAAGCAAGTGAAGTGTCTTGTTTGCATATCCGGCCTCGCGGTTCCTGCACTGCCTCCGGGGCCGCAGCCTCTCTGCATGGCCTGTTCCAGTGCTTTACTACCCTCCCAGTGAGACAGGTTTTACCCCTCCTGGATCTGACTTGAGTGAATTACTCCAGATGGACGTTGCTCCAGAAGCAATGGTCTCCAGTCGCAGCAAGGGAAGTTTAGGTTAGATATTAGGAAAAACTAAGAGCCAATTCTGGCTCGTATAGGGTTTAAATCAGGGCAGCTCCATCAATTGATGGAGATGGTCCCAGTCTTTCTGCTGGGACTCAAAGAGGTGAACACACCTTCCTTCAAGTACAGCCAGCATTGCACTTGAGCATGGTTAGATGGCTAGTGTCAGATGGTCTGGCCTTCATCTTATTCAGCTCTGCCATAGACTTCCCACAAGCCCTTTATCCAGTCCCTTGCCCTCCTGTGCCTCATTGTCCCCATCTGACTCAGTGGCAGCCCTTGAATTCATCAATGCTGCTATATCATTTCAATGCCACCAGACAGAAGTGCCAGGCCTGTTTATCAGAGCTTTGCATTTATCCTCACGCTTCACAGCGGGGGTTAGCTAAATGCATGGATCATTTTTACGGTGCTTTGACAACATTTTATTTATCATGAGCTCCTGCTGGGGTGTTGAACAAACACTGTAACACACCAAAAAGCCCAGCAATATAAAGATCAAATCAAATATTTTATAAACCCGAAGTTAGCAGAGTCTGAGGAATGAATAGGCAGAGGGAGGCATGGAACTGAGCCATTCGCTGCCTCCAGCTTGCAAATAATTGCTGCAATGGCTGGGATTTGCACTTGCTTTGCTTTCAGGTAGCAGCGTCCCTACTGCCCCCACTCAGCAGTGGTGGTCTCAGCAGGATGGGCCTTTCAAGGGGGAACCCATCACTCATCACTGGGAGTTGGCTAGCTGATCTCAAACACTTGGGAAGTCACAACAAGAGTTCCTGAAGCAGGAGAAGACCTCCCTCTGGGCTTTTAAAAGGGGGAGGAAGGGTGGTCGATGCTCACGCTCCCATCATAGCAAGTGCCAGTGAAGCAAAGCTGGAGCCAGCAGCAATGGGATGTCAGGGAGACGAATCTAGGACTCTCCACCCCATAAAACTCACCCAGATGGGCCTGGACCAGGCCTATGTGATGCTAACTTCTTTTCCTCACCTGCGCATTACTGAATGTCCAGTCCAGCCAGGCATGCCCCTGCCCCTCCAGCCAGCTGAGTAGCTTCACTGCCACGACATCCCTTCCCTTCCTCCAAACAGGCTCTCGGTGCTACCCCTGCCCTGCAGCTTAAAAAACAACAGGATGCAGAGCAAGCAAGGGGGCAATGCCTTGCCTAACATCCCTCCCAACTCTACAGTTGGTCCAATAAAAGAAATCATCAGAAAACCCTTACTCCTCACATGTTTCCTGAACCATCATGGCAGCGATACTTCAGCGCCTCCGAGTCTTCACGGCACTGGCAAGAAAGTTGCAACCGAGGATTGAATGGATGACTCGAGAAGCTCTTGTCCAAGTGTGTCATGGTAGACAGATGCCGGTCAGGACACTCGCTCGTCTGTGGGGCTGGTCTGGCCGCACGTCCAGCCCACAAGGGAGAGTTTGGCACCCCTGGCACAGCTGCTTTCACGTGTGCGGGTGTTTTAGGTGTGGGGGGGGTGCAGATTGCCAACAGCATTACATTGGCTAGGGGGTACAAGCGACCTGGGACTGACATGGGCATGGCAGCGAAACACTGTCACGGCTGTGGCACTTAGGCAAATCCCAGGGATCAGGCAGGGCTTCTGGAGAGCGAAATGTTTGGCTTAGGTGCCTGAAGTGGCAGTTCGGTATCTAAGCCCCCCTACCCCGTGACTTTAAACCCAAACCTTTACTCAAAGCTTCATTTCCGCCTTATTTCCCACTATTATACTAACCCAATCCCACCCCCGTACCCCCTTAACCCACTTATTTCCTATTATTAAAATGGACGTTTAACCTACCTATTTCCCACTATTAAACTGACCTAATCCCACCCATGCACCCCCTTAACCCACTTATTTCCTATATTAAAATGGAGGTTTTACCTACCTATTTCCCACTATTAAACTGTCCCAATCCCTACCCCTGCACCCCCTTAACCCACTTATTTCCTACTATGAAACTGGATGTTTAACCCACCTATTTCCCACTATTAAACTGACCCAGTCCCACCCAATCCCACCCTCCCCAAGGCTAGCTACTAGCTGCACAGTCATATGTGATCAGGGGCTAGAGCGTCTGTTCATACCATCAGCCCTGACTTAGCACTTGCTTTCCTCACCTGGATGTAGGTCAACAACCATCCGTTAGCCCAGGCCTCAGGCCAAGGGATCACAGGCATATTTGTACAGCACCTAGCACAAATACAGTATCTGTGGAAATAACCTGAGATAACCCTGACCAAGGGCTGCGCAGGGGACAAGTTGGTCCTTTTGGTAAATGAAAGTAGCTGAAAACTGAGCAGACTGCGGCAAGTGTCCCTCTCTCCAGCAGTCGGCGTGATGCCAGCGGCGCGCAGCAGTGCAGTTGCGATGCCTGGGCTTGCAATCACCTGTTCTGTCCCACTGGATTAATTCCCCGAGCCCATCAATCCAGCTCATTTCCCCCCACCCCATGCCTCAACACACCTGAAAAATGAATGGAAGTGATGTCATTAAATAAACGCCCTTTTGTTAACAATTAAAACTGCATCTACTCCTGTAAGAGCCGAGTGGATTTATTTGTCACTAAAGGTTATAAATCAGTGCCGGGCTCTTATAAATAAAGCAATGTGCTGCAATATTTATAAGGTATCTGAATAATTTTAGAAAGGGGGAGTGAATGCCTCTTGCATCTGTAGGGAAATTAAACTCTCCACCAGAAACCTTCGCGGCCTGCTGGTAGAGCTGGGGGAACGGGACAAAAGCCGTGCTCACAGACCCTCATTTAGATGCCGTTCATTATGGCTTTTTGGCTGTCTTTTTTATTCTTCACTACAGATTTGCGTTCCTCCTTGTCCTTCGCCCTGATGGCCTCCTACACACTCAGCCAAGGGCAGTCACGGGAGGGGGCGAGAACTGGGTCCTTCATTATTTGCTTGTTTAAAAATACTTCACTGATCCATTCAGGTAGGTGAAACAATACTATGGAGACTAAGAGGCCCGGTCAAACGCCACTACCACATCACAGCTGAGACACACGTGGTCTACCCAGGGTGCGCGTGTCAGGTCAGGACCGCAAATCCCCGTTGGGGCAGGGACACAGACTCGGTCTGGCTTCAGAGGTGCCGAACACCCGCAGTTCCCATCCAACCCAGCCGGACTTCGAAGTGCTGAACGTTTCGGGAAATCAGGCTCCTCGTACCTTGGCCTCCAAGTATGGACTTTGGCACCCTGCTGTGAGAAAACAAGTGTGAAAGGTTTAACTATTAACTCCTCCACTGAGGACAACTAATGAACAAATCCATAGAAGTGAAAGCCCGCTCGGGATTGATTTCTGTGCCGGGGCGCGAGTTCAGCCGAATGATTAACGCGCCGTGAATGATCTGACCGGCTCTGAAAACCCGTGGCACAGATTGACAAGCAAGCCGCGGAGGAAGAGGAGGAGTGCGGCGACTGTAAACCACAAGGATCATTAATTCACAGACCTACCAGCTTCTCTCCGGCACAACAGTGCTGCGAGCACACAGCTAAGGGCTGCGAGAGCTTGTTTTTCCGGATTTGAGGAGTGCAGAGTTTCATTACTTGTTTTCCTTTCTAATTAAGCAATACTCACCTGCGCAGAGAGCCCTTCTCCAGCAGTAATGACTGCAGGGGACGACCTGTGATACATCCCAGATTACCCTGGGCTGGGAGTCTGCAATGAGGTCACCGTTATGCTCAACTGACAGTAAAAGAGAAAAGAAAGACAAGGCAATGGGTGTATTAAAATAGGTGGCTTTAGGGAGGAATATTAACCTGCTCCAACTGACTGGGACCGGGGCTGCAGGGACTGCCTGTTGCCTGCGTCGCATTGCAGGGAGATGTGCTCCGGATAAGCACGCGACGTGAACAGCTACGACTGTCGCGTGTGAGCTGAGCCGCTTGTGCACGTCCAGCTGGGCTCTTCCTCTCCCTGCGCCACGGTGCAGTTAGTGTCGCGTCCACCAAACGTGCCGCCGGGTCCCCTCTCCCCTCGCTGCATCGGCTCCACAGGGTTGCAGCTCGTTTTCGTCACAAAGGCAAATTAGGCCCGAGTCAAAATGCACGCAGTGCTGGTCCGCTAAGGACAGAGATGGCATCTTTACGCGCTTGCTTTTCCCTGCTCCGCCTGTACTTACATGTCCTGTACATTAGCCAGAGCGCTCGAGTCATCTCCCCGTTCCACTAATAGCCCGCGCGTAGCTGCTCCACATTAAACATTTCCTTTGCAACCCTGGTGTTGTCCCTTGAAGTCTGCAGTTTGCTGCCTCTGTCACGGCTGTAATTACGACTCGGCAGACTTGCGATTTTTTTTTTTCCCACCCCCCTCGAAGTTTACTCCATGCCGCACTTCCAGGCCCTCTCAGCCGCAGGGGCTGAACGGTGCAGACGACCAGGGCGTCTCTGGACGGGAGGGGAATCGATGCTGCTTTTCTCCCTTATCTGTCCTGCACAACATTGATTTCTGGCTCACTGTCCGAACCGTTACAACCGGTGGCACGTTCCCACCACCGACTGCCCCAGCACCCATCTCACCGGGGGCCCATTTCACACTGGCTGGAGTCTGCAAGTGCCTTTTTCCAAAAAGCTTTGGCAGCCCCTAACTTTTATTGTTGAAAAGTTATTTCACCAGAAGGCAACACCAATGAAATGGAGGTTATGGGGGGGGAAAGGTCATTACACTGCTACTGCATTTAAGCTTCTTCTTCCATGAAGGATTTGGTCGTGGCATCACTTCGGGGTGCCAGCCTACACGTGGCTCTGGGAAGGAGGCGAGATGGGTGTCTTTCAACACGCGCTCCAATGAGAAGCATGAGGTGGTGCGCGTAGAAATAGGCAGGCCCCATTTATGGAGCATGGACAGCGACCTAGAGGTGGATATCCAAGCAAATGATTTCAATTGCAAATGATTTTAGGCAGGAAATACTGCTGCCGCCTTCGTGTTTTACAAATAGCTCATTTCTCCCACCCCCGAGCTCCTGCACGAGCTCAGAAGAGGGAAGTAACCTTGTTAATAAACTTGGCGTTCACACCAGCTCCCACCGAGGTGGTGACACTCACTGTTTTCAAGTGCATGCCAAGCAGGGCTCCTGGATCCACGTCTATAAGGATATCCTGGTGTGTGGTCTGTAGCATTTGCTGCTGGAGAGGAGAAGAAAAAAAACCTGTTTCTTTTATATTTCAGGGCATTTTCACTGCCTCACCCCCCTCCTCTGCCACCCCAGCCATGGAAGAACTGCGCTGCGGCAGGTGTGAGCATGGGCACTCTTGTCTCTGCCACCTGGGGAAATGGCATGTGGTTACCCCGAAAAGCTGTGCCCTGCATCTAGGCAGAGTCACGCCTTCAGTGTTTGAAACAAAGGTCTTGGTACGTATGCAAGCAAAGTGCTTGCTGAGGCATGCAGGAGCCTTGCCATTTTGGGGCTCCCCTTCTGCCCGGGCCCCAGGCGGGCACCCGGTTCACCCAGGCCTGTGTCCAGCCCTGCTGGGACTTGCAGAGTAACACCCACCCCCACAGCATGAGGCGGGCAGTGACATCCCGAGAGCAACATCGCTCTCCTGGCTTTGGATTCGGGAGAAGCTGCATGCTAGACCCTGCTTTGTCCCCGGACTCCTTGCCACGTCCCTGCTCTGTGACTCAGTTTCCCCATCTGTAATCAAGCAATAATGATGGCGACCTCCTTTTTTAAAGCGCTGTCAGAGCTACTGAGCATGTTACATGTTAAAGTGCTATTACCAGCAATTCTTCCCCGGACCGTGGGCCTGGGGGATGAGCGATGGGTCCGCGATGTAGCTGGGTTGCAAAGCTGCAGAGGTGTGAAGCTAATGGGAACTCCTCCTCACGCAGTGCTACAGGCACCATGTTCAGCTCCGACGTGGGCGTGAGAAGCACTCTGCCCCACAGAGCGGCAGACGTACGTATCATTTACCCTGAGATCAAAAATGCAGATGCAATTGCAACCGGAGGGCCAAAGGCTCAATGGGGGTAGATCAGCATAGTCCTGGTAGAGCCCAAGGAGTCATGCAGATTTGTCCCACCTGCAATCTCGCCATCTCCACTTCTGCTGGGAATGAACTATTCTGGCTTTCCAATCAATTGTCCTAACACAAAGCACTTGCAGAGACAGAAAAACTCAGCACTTGTTATTCCAGTCCCTAACAGCCTATTAATTTAGCCAGCAAATCAGAGACTGTCCCCAACCTGTCATATGCATTTTTTTGCACCAGATTTCCACCCCTCCCCTCCAATGCGTGCATTGAGGTTTTGGAGCGTCACACACAGGCACTGCAACAACATGTGGCTTGCAAACAAATACAGCCTAGGGCAGGCGTTACTGTGTTGCAGATGCTCAGCCATCAGTGGGAAATGGGTTTTTTTTTTATGGAAAGCCTCAAAAAAAAAAAAAGAGCATCTGACAAAGCAAAGCGGTTTGAGATAACAAGGGAGTGGCCCCCTGCATGGGAGAAGTGACAAGCTGGTTTTAATCAAATGTTTGTGTGTGCTCTGAAAGTGAGCTTAACAGCACTCGTCTAGAGGAGGAGAGCAGAGCTGCTGCCTTCTGTGTTTCAACCATATGGGCCAAATTCATAGAAAATGAGGGTTGGAAGGGACCTCAGGAGGTCACATCTAGTCCAACCCCCTGCTCCAGCTACATCACCCCAGCCAAGGCTTTGTCTACTTGGGTCTTGAAAACCTCCACGGATGGAGAGTCCACCACCTCTTGGGGTAACTTGTTCCAGTGCTTCACTACCCTCCCAGTGAGAAAGCTTTTCTTAATATCCAACCTCAACTTCCCTTTCTGCAACCTGAGCCCATTGCTCCTTGTCCTGTCATCTGCCCCCACTAAGAGCAATCCAGCTCCATCCACTTTGCAGCCCCCCTGCAGGGAGGTGAAGGCTGCTATTCAATCCCCCTCGGTCTTCTCTTCTGCAGACTCAATCAGCCCAGTTCCCTCAGCCTCTCCTCACAAGTCAAGTGTCCCAGCCCCCGACCCATTTTCTTTTCCCTCCACTGGACTCTTTCCAAGTTGTCCACATCCTTTCTGTAGTGGGGACCCCAAAACTGGCCACAGGACTCCAGATGTGGCCTCACCCAGTGCCGAGTAGAAGGGAATAATTATTTCCCTTGATTTTCTGGCAACACTCCTGCTAACGCAGCGCAGGATGCCATTAGCCTTCTTGGCAATGAGGGTGCACTGCTGACTCATATTCAGCTGCTTGTCCATTGTAACCCCCAGGGCCTTTTCTGCAGATTCAGCGGCGCTGGGTAACTTTTTTTGTTTTTAATTCTGTCAGGCCAAATCAAGCCAAATCATTTCCAAAGTCTGTTGACTGAGCTCTGCTGTGTGTCACAGGTCCCAGCAAGTATCCTACCTCCCAGACTCTTCAGCCTCCCAAAACCATGGCTGGCGTCCTGCCTGCAAGCCCTTAGCCCAGAGGCCTTGGCATTCAGGTGCCTTCTAGTCTTGTCTGCCTCTAGCTTGTAGCAAGCGAGAGGGAAAGCCCAGGAGCAATCCCCCATCATCATAAATTGTGTAGACGAGATCTTCGTATGGGAGGCATTTGTAAATCTTCGCAGGAGTCGGCTTGCCGGCAGTGCAAGGGACAGGCCTTCACCCTGTAACTACACCAAGTCATTCAAGGCCGAGAAGAAGGGGATCTCCCTTGCCAGGTAAGCAAAACCACTTGGTTGATCATGGTGTCTCCCCCTGTCCAGTGTTTTATGGCTTTTGTCACTAGTAAGGCCATCTGGGGCTGTTAGATCATCTAGTCCAGCCTTATGGCCCGAGTCATGGGATTCAACCCCCCCCACCCCAATGACTCCTATTGAGTCCAATAACTTGTGTTTGAAGGGGTTTTCCAAACAGGCATCTTGGCGACATCAACGCACTGCACTGGGACGCTGGGTCTCACAGTCGCTCCCCGCTCCTGCAGAAGAAATGCCTTGTTCATTGGCATGTGTCTAACCACTGGGTCTCGTTCTCCCTTTGAGCACTGTGTTAGAGCCCTTCAGTACCTGGGGTTTTTCTCCACAAAAGGAGACTTAAACTAGCAATAGGGAGCCAACAGGCATTTTCCTAAGCAACAACCTCGTGCTTTGGCCCCACGTTGGTGGTTTAGTGATGGCCAAGAACAAAGAACTGGTCCAGATCCATGAAGAACAGAAGCTAGTTCCCGCACTCCCTTTGCACAGGTAAAACTTCTGCTGATCCCCAGAGGACGTCTGAGCAGTGACTCGAGGGCCTGGCCAAAAAAAATCAAAAACCCCAGAGCCAAATGCTCCTGGGTTTGGGAAATGTTTTAACCTAGATTCACATGTTGCCCTAGGGGCACCAGTGAATCTCAAGAAGGCTCAGGTCACCGCTCAGATGCCTGGCTGAGCCCAACCTGAACTATCCAAAGTAGAAAGGGTCTCTCCAAATGTCGTTGTGATGTTTGCCAAAAGACGCTCTTCCCAAGGCTGAGCTAAAACAGCCCAGGAGGGTCAGCCACAGAGATCAGGGTCACAGCCAGGACTGAGTACAGGGAGTGCAGTGATGCTCGTCCATTAAACATAATGGAAGAGAAGACACTCATCGACCCTTTCTTGGGACCTCTCAAGCTCGATTCAGGTCTGGTGTGAGCTTTGAGATTCAGCTATTGGGTCAGAGGTACTCCTTTTATACGCTAACTCATTTGCCACCGTGCACCTTTGCACTTTTCCAATGTACCGGTCATGCCCTGGGGTGGATCATGCAGGGGGGGTGGGGTTAATGCAGCAAAATAAGAGATTGAGATAAGATGTGCCAGAGCCAAGGGGCAAATGTGCTAGGCGTCAACACTTGTTGGGTCACATATCACTGTGAGGTACCCAAGGCGCTGATAGGGTATGTGTGTACGGCACGAGGCAGCACCATCCTACTGCCGGCCTTGCCCACTCTGTGCTTGCTGAACTGGAAGGAGTGTAAGCCCATCTGCACAGCACTGCGTGCCCACCACCAAGCCCCAAACACTGCCCTGACCTGCCTGCTCTCCTCTGGGAATGGAGCAGATATGTCAATCCCTTCCACTGCAAAGTTACAGCCTCGGACATCTGGTCCCTTTGACGTCCAGGGGGATCGTGCCAGTGGGTTCAGACCGTGGCTCGCCAGAGGTCAGAACAGAGCCCAGATTTCCTCACTGCCAAAGGAGGACGAGGGAGGAGGGTCTTCCAGCCAAATAGCGCCTATGTTTTCACCATGCCGACAGCTTGGAAAGAGCCATGGCAATGTCTGCTACACATACTTAACATGGGAGTCACAAAGAAGTCACTGCAGATCAGCTGTGACATGAGGTTTATAATAGAAACCAGGACCCAGCTCCAAGTGCAGGGATCCGCCAGGGCGCCGGCTGCAAGAAAGAAATAATCTCTGCACACTTTGAACTCTCCCAGTGCCTAATGAACAGGGAAAGCCAAACCCTCTATTCTGATGAGAACCTCTCTCCTTCTTCCTCCCCATGACCAGCTGCCGGACCCGGAGGGACCTCTCTAGGGCACTGGGCCCAGTTTGCTGCCGCATTAGGAACAGGGGCAGCAGCCCGGGGAGGGGGGCTGGTTTCAGGGCTCGAGGGGGCTTGGTGCCAGGGTTGGCTGCCTGGTGCTGTGGATGGCGCACCCACCGCCAGGACCCTCAGGTACCAGCGGTGGAGTCAGCTGGACCAAGGCTTGGTCTGGCCGGGAGCCTGTTTCTCATTTATGCAGTTTGCTGAATCCCAGAGGAGCCCAGAGCACTTTAAAAACTGTGTGCCTGAGGCAGCAGCATGCACCCCTCCAAAACCCACAGGGAAGAATGAGACTGGGAGCAGTAGGAGGACTTCAGGACTGGACCTTGCCCCCAGGAAGTGGTGCTCGCTCCTGCCCTGGGGGTCTTCAAAAGGAGGCTAGATAATCACCTAGCCGGGCTCTTTTGACCCCAGCATTCATGGCAGGGGGGCGGACTAGATGATCTGCTCAGGTCCCTTCCGACCCTAACAACGATGAAACTATATGAAACTTTCCCTCCCCGCCCCACAACCAGAATTACATCCAGCGGCCGGATGAAACGCCAGTCCCTGGCTGTGCAGCAACTGCTCCGTTCCTGCCATGGAAACTCGCCCCCAGACTTCCTTTCCCAATCTGGGTGGCTAACAACCAGTGAAGCCACAAGACCCACGTCTGTGCTGCCACGTTCTGGCTTCAAACCCAGGTGAGAGCCGCTGCAAGCTTCCCCCAAGGGGAGTCATACCCGTCTTGTCTTGGAGACGGCAGTGCAGCTCCACGGACGCGGCTGCCCCCTGTTAGCTGTTCCCTGTTGTTTGAGAAGCCAGTGCAAAAAGCAAGGTACACCCACCCCTGTGTCAGCCTGCGTGGGCCTGCAGGCAGGACTGAAACCTAGTACACCCAGCGTGATCGAGTGTGATCAGTGGGTCGCTCACGTTTGACGATCTGAGGCTACAAAGAGAGAGAAGGGGGGGGTCCCTTGTGATCAATTTGCCCCCTGGCATGAGGGCTGTGGAGAGCTGACATCATTTTTCCCCTGGTATTCAGGGCAATTATTCAGCCTTACGATCCTCAGGTCCCTGCACGCCTATCCTGGTGCACGATGTGGCGTCCCCGCAGCCCGTGGGACCTGGTGCCTCTCCAGGAGATTGCCACTTTATTACACCTAATCGCCCCACTCGGCGTCTGGCCTGCAAGGGGCAGAGACACCATTAACCTTTCAACCCGCAAACGCAAGGTGATAAAGATGAGCTAAAGTCCATTAATCTGCCTGCAGAAAAAAAGCTGGGCACGCTAAAGGCAACGAATGGGTTTTCTCCTGCTCGTGGGAAGGCGGGCAGATGAGAGAAGTGCAAGCGTCGAGTATGCTGCAAAGTCCAGCAGAGACCTGATGCAGCAGGAGAGAGCCCAGCAGCAGGGCAGGCAAATCAATCCCAGGTTGGGGAAGAACCGGGGCTTGCAAAGAGACTGTGAGAGCTGTCAGCTCCTTCTCCCAATGTCACTGGCACGCGGCAGCAACAAGGGCCTGCTTCGACACGCACAGGACTCTGCAGGGGGAGCAGGACCCTGCACGTGTGGACACCTCCAGAGCCTTAAGGGGCAAAGGGAGACGTCAGCCTGGGCTAGAAACCGGGCCCTCCCCCTCCCACCCCACTCCAAGCAGGTAGAGGGAGCACAGACCGCAGCTCAGGACCCTCAGCACCAACCAGGCGAACGCAGCCGGATACTGAAAGAGTAACAAACAGCCAGCTCTGTCCAAGCTGCCAGCGGCGAGGACCTGTCCCAAAATAAAACAGACGGTTTTAATATGTTGGAGAAATCAGCTCCCCGGACGGATCCGCAGTGAACAAATGGGAATAACCACAGGCCCAGCCTACAGCAATGGTGCCGTTCATAGATTACGGGGAGTCAAAAGGGACCCCACAGGATCATCGTGCCCGACCCCCTCCCCCAGGCAGGAAAAGGACCGAGGTCAGATGACTCCAGCCAGGCATTCGGTTTACGCCTGTGTTTTATCCCTGGGGGTGCAGGAGAGGAGGCTCGTGTAAGACTCGTGGTCTGCAAGCAGCGCATGAAAGACTATTCATGGATTAACACTCAGCACCCCCAGAGATGGCTCTCGCCTGCACTGCAGCAATGGGGAGGCGGAGGGACAACCGGCCGGCCCGTGCTGCGGGGCAGAGAGCGCCGAGCAGAACATGGACCCGGTAAATGGCATATGTGGACCCCCAGGGCAACCTCGCACAGACCCACCCGCACAACTTTGTGCTGATGACCCTGAACTATACCCAACAAAGGCCAGTCCTGTCTCCCGGCCCACCTGCCACCCCTCTCCCCTGCCCTTACACTTTCTCCCTCCTCCACCTCTCCAGACAAGAGGGTCACTTCGTCGTGGCATTGAACCATCAACGCCGGACTGCATTAAGAGCTGCTGTTCGCTTACTTTTATAAAGCAGGGAGGCAGTTCGGCCGCGTGACTCAAATCAGAAGGCAGGGCAGGGTGGCACCTTTGCTCAAGATGAATTAGTTCGGAGAGGCATGGGCTTTTATAGGCGACTGGCTGCTGAAAGGTCATGTCTCTCTGAACTGGTTGGTCTCCACGGGGCCATGCGGCTCTGCCTTCTCTTTTACAAGTCAAAAAGCAAATGCGTGCGACCGCTGATTCAAGGGGTGCCCAAACAGACACCCACCAGGCTGGCATTCAGCTGCATGTTCGGCAACCAGGCATGCTCCTTTCAAGGTGTCTCAAGCTGCATCCCCAAGACAGCTGAAAGAGGAAACTGCCCTCTTGGGCCCCTAATCCTGCAAACGCTTCTGCGTGTGCTTAACCATCAGCATGCACAACGCCCCCCGGACCCCTCTCTGAGCAAATCTTAGCACGCGAAGAAGGCCTGGAGAGTCCCACTCTTCTACGGCACGTTTGCCCAGGGCCCAGGAGGATCCCCGAGATCCCATAACGCAGATAGCAACATAGCAGCACCATCTTCCTCTTCCAGAAAGTAGCTAAAGGACATGTTTTCCCAGCTTTACTTTAACCGCCCCAGTGCCTGAGCCTTGCAGCCAGGCAGCAAAACGCTGTCTTGAGGTCAGGTGGCTGGAGGGATGCAGCTCCACAGCACCCATCGCTGATCCCTTCCTGCTCTAATCATTTCTGATTACATGTAGGGCCTAATTATTAAGAGCCCCGTCAGCTCTTTGCAAATACCAAAACAGACAGATATTCTGGCCGGGGGGAAATACCTCGCCGAGCTCCATTTGCAAAGGGCGCATCACACCGTGTAACCCCGAGCCCCGTTCTTGAAGGAGCACGCGAACGCTCTCGCCGTGGCGCCGAAGAAGAAAGCGAAACATCAAGGACCTGTTTGTCATCACGCCGCGGCACAATGCATGGCCCCATTGAGGAGCCGCCAGTGCCATCGTGGCTTTGAAAAAAAACGCAGCTCCTCTTCTCGTAGCTGCTTTAAAAAGGTGGCGGGACCCTGAGCTCAGGGACAACAGACCGTGCAGATAAACAGACCGTACAGATGGATTTTTGTATTTGATCTGTAAACTTGTCTTTATTTAATAAAAATAATAATCCATTATAGCAACGTCTGATGATTTTTTTTTTCTTTAAAAGGTAAAGGGTTTTTTTTTCCCTCCCTCGCCTCTTGAGGGATTCGATTTTGAAAATCTAAATGAATGTAAACATTGCTCTCTGACCCCCGGGGCGGCATGGGCCCCTGGGAGTTCATTACAAAGTCAAAACCCAGAGAGCAAAATGAACACCACGCACGTCAACATAGAAAGTTGGGGTTTTTTCCTCCTTCGTGTCTGTGCATTTGGCATCTCCCGTCTCATCCGATTCAGCTGGCACTAAGGAGATTTCAACAAACTTTCCCTTTTCCAATTTATTTCTTTGACCTGGCATTATGAAATGAAGCTGTAAAAGTTTGTTTTTCCCAGTAGTTTATTGGGAATGGCAGAGAAGGAGGATTTTTTTTTTCTTCTCCTTTTACTATCCTTCAGAAAATTGTCTTCAGGATGTTGGATTTCCTTTTTTTTTTCCCCTGTAAGAAGATACAGCTGTAAAAGGGAGACAGTGTAAAAGCAACATTAACTCCTCCTTTCCCAGTCCACTATAATGCCATTTCCACAATTAAAAAAAAAAACAAAACCAAAATGCATCTTTACACTACAAAATATAGGGGCAGATTCTCTGAAAAAGTTCCCCCCCGCCTTTTAAAGTTTTGTTCTGGATAATCCTCAGCTTGGAGACGAGGGAGTTCAACCGCTCCAACTGAGGATGACACCAGAAAATTAAAAACCTTAAATCTTATCAGGGTGTGCAATGAGGCAGCATTGCCTCTGTGCGTGAAACCCTGTTTCTTGTGCAGGAAATACAGCGAGCATTAAAAAGGCAAAAAGAAAAGAAAAAGCAAATCAATACAAATCAGGTAACATGATACGTGTAACCCTGATATTTACCTTAAAATGTGAGCTATTTACAGTCTGGGTGGGAAAAAAAACAATACATTTCAGTGCTGCAATGTAGTGGGAGACGTGTTTCTATTAACCCTCGGAGAAGCAAACTGCTCTCAAGCATCCTGCTGGAAGCAAAACGAGATCATTGTTCTCAGTCTTTTGGACCATTTCCGACTGCACCGAGAAACCAGTTAATCCCCCCCTGCCTCCCGCCCCCCTGCCCTTTAGTTAACAGGTAAAGAAAGTTTCTTTCCTAACAAAACTAAACAATAGGCGAGGCAAACAAGGAAACAAATAAGGGACCTACATCAAAAAAACCCAACAATGCCCAATGTCGTCAGGTCTGCCTTTACAAGCTTTATCCCCTCAAATCCGAGAGCACGTCTGAAAACCTTGATAATACTATCAGGCTGCTGAGTTGATGAGATGGCTCCAATAATCGTGGTGTTTTTGCTGTTTAATGCTTCAAGTTGT